TTACCTCGATCTACGAAAAGATTTTCTTTTGTTTTTAAATAAAATTAACATGGTTCACACAATTTCAGATAAACAAATTTCAAGGATTTTTCAAGGACAAATTACAGTTTTCAAGGAGTAAGATTTATTTAATAAATCGGAATTCTTTAACCCCCTTTGCCTCACTCCTATTGGCTAAAACACGTCATGGAGCCATTTACGATTTTTACTTCTTCGGCCATCGTTGATCACGTTCAGTATTTTATACTACTATCCGCAACAAGACTTAGCAAAATGACTGGGTATGACTTGCAATTGCATCTGAGGTACAAATAGAATTCAAAATAAAGAACAGAAATAAGATATTGTTCATGCACAAAAATGCTTTTGCGCTACCCGTGAGTTTCACAGGTTCTTACACCAGGGATGCGCCAAAATTTGCGTCGGTAAAATAATCTAATTTCACAGAAAAAAAAAAAAGCCTGGCGTAGACAAGGTTGTGAATTTCAAGGACTTTTCAAGACCTAATAAAGAAGTCAAGGACTATTCAAGGACCTAAACCGAATTCAAGGATTTTTCAAGACGACTGGTAAAATTCATGACCTTTTCAAGATTGTCCGAACCATGTAAATAAATAAATAAATAAATATTTAGAGGTAGCTCATTCAATAGGTGGTTCTTCGTCTGCCTGTTTCCTGGTCGAATTTGAATTTCGAAATGTTGGCTTTTGAGGAGAGTGGAATACCCGAGTACCGGAGAAAAACCTCTCGGAGCAAAGACGAAAACCAACAACAAACTATACTTACCGCAACATATATACATGTATTACAATATGTAATACATGATATAATAATAACATAATATTACAACGTTTTTGCATATCCTTATACATGTCCTCTAAACTCAAACACACAAGCGATCACACCGTTGTTTGGAACCCCAGTGAATATACTAGTCTTTAACCAGTACAGTGAATGCCTTCGGCATTCCCAGGGGACTAAAATCGTCACCGACTGAAATCATACTATTATTTCAGTTCGGTTTTTGGGATGATAACAGTTTGTTAACTGAGAAAAAAGATGCAAACCGGGGGGGGTACTCCCCTATAAAAGTGACGCGGATGCTCGTCGGAAAATTTCGAGCACATCCTTAAAAGGTACCAGAATCTTGTTTTATTAACGTGTTCCAAATTCATTTCCAGCCCTAAGAGGTACCAATTCAACATCAACAAATTATATAACAGGCACTGCAAATTTTAATAGCAATCAAGATAACTTTCGAACACTTTCTTCTCAAGGACTTTTGGAAAGTATTGTCATAAATCAGCAGTCATTTTAGGTTTTAGCACCCCAAGCGGTACCAATCCACAAAATCAATCCCCTAAAAGGTACAACGAGCACCCCCGTCACTGTTATAGGAGAGTAGCCCTCCCCCCGGATATACAAAGCAGCCCAAGTGGATGAAGAGTTTTCATTCGGCTCAGCGCGATTCACATTAGATTGTGAAATAGTATCATCGAAGGATTTGAGGACTCGTGTATGTACCGAGTGATATCGTTAAAATTGCGTTTGCATCTGCTTTCTTTACATCATTTGACAGATTTCAACTAGGAATTTTTTTTGTCTTACATAATTATAGATTTATTTTGAAAAATCAAACCGATTTCCGTAAAACGGTGGAAAGCGGTATGGGTCCGCGCTCATCATCATACATTAATATAACAAAAAACAAAGGAAATAAAATCTAAACTACGGATAAAATTGAACTACAGCTTACGTTGTACACAATGATAAGTTTGGGGAGTATTAATATAGACTTTAATAGTCAAGCCTAAATAAACCGAAGCCTTATTTACGTACTTATAAATTATTTTATTTCAAAAAATTAACTGATACTATACTTATACTATCCTTAACTTTAGGAGTCAGCCACTAAACGTAAGAGGAAGGGGTTGGGTGATTTCAGAAAAAAGAGCTCATTAATAATTCATAGAGAAAAAAACAAAAGAAAGTAATGTTCAACTAGTGTCTTTATATCTGATTAAGACACGGCTAAACTTTACGACCAAATTTTTAGACCAAAATAACTCCAAATCTATTTATTAGTGCATGAATAAGTTGATCTTTATCAAGAGATTTTGAAGCCGTCCAAAAAAACTTGCAGTCGTGTATTATCAGGTTTAAAAATGCACTTCTGCTCGTTTTTTTAACTGTAAAAGTATCATGTTTAACTCTTTACTGGTATGTACCAACATGCAACAAAATTGCTTTAAATCAAACATATACCACAACTCTAAACAACTGACCACTTAGCTGACTAGAAAAGAAGTGGCTTTATTCCATTGAAATGGTAAAATCTTTTCTGTGCTCAAGCTTTAGGGAAACGTACAGAGTTCCTGGTCTAAACTTAGGTCACAAGTCCTCCAGACAGTCAGTCAATGGATAACGATATTCCATTTTTTTTTTTTGAGACGCTAAAAACTGATAAAGAAAAAACAAAACAAAAACTGCTCGCCGTCTTGAATTCATTCTTTGCCAAACGTTGCACCACAATTTTGATTAATAACAAGTCTGTTATAATCTACTTTTCTCACCATCGAGAATAAATTAGAACTGAATATTACAACAGTGTCTCCTTGAATTCTAAGAAATTTCAAAACAGCAACAACTACATCGGTGACCAGGCCTTACTCTTGGTTGAGAGAGGCTTGGTAACCTGACGATGTGTCACATCTAAGAACTTCACGTAAGGCCATAGTGGCATACGTCGATGTGGGCAATGTAAACTGCATCTGAAGTGCCCAGTACTTTCCGTCTGCAACTGTCTGTGGTTCCTGGGTACCGTTGAGTCTGTCCATATCTGTCAGAGCCAGCGGTTGTTTCACGTCATTGTAACGAAGCCAACGCCAGCTCATAAGACTTGGTTTGACGATCAGTTTTCTGCAGGGAAAATGAAAAACGCTCATTAAAAAAGTAGGAATGATGAAACGAGACGAAACACCACTGACGGCGCGCACAAAGTCATGCAAGGGTGCTTTGGGTAACGACACTTGGAAATTGGCAGTCAAATCGTCAGATAGCCATCTGATCACTTAGTTCAAATGTTAAGTTTGAACAGCGTAACTTTTTCTCGTTTCTATCGGACTATTTAATCTCCATCGGAAATACGATTGTTTTGGTTCACACAAAAGTGAAGGAAAGAAGACATTATAGGGAGCGCTCGCTATGCCATTTTGCGTGACGTCAATGAAGCGTCCTTGATATTGCTTAAAATTTAACGATAAAGACGCCCTCGAACAATTTCTCAACAGACGGGTGGTGTTTGCCTAGTAAATGAAACCATGGTGACCAATTTACCGAAGGAATCTTTTAAATTTATGCCCACCACGCCCACAGAAACAAATGGAACCATGCGCCTGCTAAACTATTCACAGCAGATACTAAGATAAAGGTTTCTTTCTGGTCAAAGTGTACTTAGCTTTCTAGCTAGTTTGCAGGGATTCCGATCAAATACGTGTAATAGAAAAAAATAAAGCAAAAAAAGGATTAAAAACCGCAATCTAAGGGAATCCAAGACAGTCTTGGATTCTGGATTCCACGCCATGTATTCCGGATTCCAGTTACTGGATTCCAGATCTTTTTCAGTGGAACTTGGATTCTGGATTCCAACTGTCATTGGGATTCCGGATTCCTACAGCTGTATTCCGGATTCCAAGGCCCAGGATTCCAGATTCCACAAGCAAAAATTTCCAGGATTGCGGAATCTGGATTCCCTCACATGGGGAGAAGGATTAAAAACTCCAACCGGCTGGAAGCAAACAGTTCGCTATTTACAAACGTCGCTGAGGATATGAATTCGGGACGGCCCATAACAATTCCACATACGGGGTCTGAGCGAGACTCGTACCCGGGACGGCCGGAAACGAGTCCGACGCACAAACCACTGGGCCACGCTGCCTCCTTAAAACAATCCCCTACTTTCACGTAAGATGACAACGTCGTCCCCAGGGGACGGATAGGACAGCATCCTGGCGACGAGGTTGGTAAAATCGTCCATTTAAAGATCGCCCATCTGGGTTTCCATTGTACCGAGGGGGGAGGGCTTTGAGGTGTACATCGTCGACGCAAAATCACACTGTGGCTATCTATCCCGATACTATAGAACCCTTAGTACGCTTGCCTCCACGGTACATTTAAAACCAAGATGACCAACCATTATGTAAGCACTCGGTTTCGACGGTTTTACGGGAAAATAGGAGACTTTAAACTGTCCAAACGCCAAGTAGCGCGTTCGTTAACGGTTTCCCTAATTACGACAACGGTGGAAATGATAAAAAATAAACGCACTTGGAAACACGCTCTTCACAATGACGACTTGGTAAACGAATATCATAAATAACGTGATACAAGAGTAAAGATGATGCTCGTACGTGGGCCGCGATACTCTACCCCACTAAACGCCCTCTGGGAGGGAAAGAGATTTCACTCAGCCGTCAATCATGTAAAAGTTATCCAATCAAAAGACAAGAAGTCGTCACTGTCGTCATTATAAGTATACTCCAGGTTAAATTTTCCCCTTTATTTCTGCTCTACCGCATTCCAGAGCGATTCGTTCCCTATAATCTGTTTCATATAATGTTAGTGTTGATCTTCTTAGCTGCACTATTCTCAGTGCAGCATTCTTCAGCTGAGACCAAGGTAAGAAAATTCTAACTCTACATTTCACAACCTGGATAATTGTAAATGTTCCCCCAACATTATAGCATGGAATTCCTTTATGGTCTACTCATTGATATATTTTGAGTACTGTACTCGAAGGATAGTTCTTTACAAGGCTCTTATCTACATGTAGTTAAGTTATCAACTCTCGCGAAAATTATCAAGATATTATGTAAAACAATGAAACTATCAGAGTTGCTATTAGTTGCAGATTTGATGGGTTTAGTTTTAGGTAAGAAAATTACCTTTCTTCGCCGCACTTTTCAGTATACACATCAGACCCAACAATGAGTTAGAAACATGTTACATTAAACGGTAAATATTTCTATTGTTCATTACAATATTTTTCACAAAATCGCGAAATTTAAAACTCCCGAAAACAGCCTTTCAATTTTCGTTTATAAAGTCATTGGGGACTGAGAAATACCCGTTTCTCTGCATGTCAAACTGCATGTTTCGCAACTTACAATCAAAGGCCAAGACCTTTACATGATCACACTGAAAAAGCCCACGCAACACACGTAAAATATATCCAATTTCCCTGACACACGCTTACGCCTTAGCTGAATCCTAACGGGGGATACTTCAGGAAAAATTCGGTGGGGGTGTGCGGCACGCTTTCTGAAACCCTTACCCTATTTCAGACCGAAATCTGTTATTTTCCCTACCCTATTTCAGACCTAACGCGTGACCGGAGCGCGTGACAAAACGTCACGGCACGTAAACGGTTGACGTAAACATTACAAGGGAAATGGTCTTATCGCCTAATGATGAAGAAGTAGCTTCTTCTAAAAAACATACCCAATTCAAGACAAGCATTCACAAACCATACCCTATATTTCAGACCAAAATGGTCGAAATTGATACCCTATTTCAGACCAAAACGGCTAAAAAAACATACCCTTTGGCGCCGCACATACCTATATAGTCGATATAAGGGGGTACCCCCAACATAAGGGCACCACAAACAAGCAATCATTTCGCCGTCAAGCATGGTTAATCCAGCTGAAACTTGCCGACCCAAAATGTCCGATGCGAGAAGGACAGTTTTAATACGAGTTTTAACGACAGACGTGTTCAACGCAGTTAATGAAGCCTAACACCCTTAAGTCAACAACGCTTACACCCTATCGCAACAAGGTTGCCGCGCATACTTATAATACATTGTAATTACAATTTGCACTAAAACTTGTACTTTTTGTTCCAGGAAAAAATCCCTTACTACCAGCTGTTTACACCCATGAAGTTAGTGAGATCAGCAAGCTTTATCTACTATCAACACACCGTGACTGCCACTAAACTGACCTTCCTGAGCGCACCAGTGAATTACGCTCGCCTCATGCAAGTACCACTCATTCCAGCACAAACGCTAAACGCGGATGCAAACCTTGTTATAAAAATGGTCATCGGGACTGATATTGATATCGGCCAGGGAGAAAGCGATCCCTCGTACGTGATTTCCGACGGTCAGTTTTTTGTTGGTGTTCATATACGCGACAAGAACAATTACAAAAACGCGTCTCCTTGTGATCCACTTGAAGGAAGCAGCGGTAACACAATGGGTAGTGATCGTCGTTATGGTTCGCCTTTGCCAAAGCCTGCCGAGTCTTACTACCCGGGAAGGGTCGAGACCAAGCTAAGCCTGTCTGACCGGTGGGGAACCTGTTTTACTTCCCACGATGGCGGCTTCAGCAGTGAGATGATTTTTCAACACAAACTGAATCCTCAAAAAGGCCTATTTCTGGAAATATACGCTGATGCCAGCAACGAAAAAGTCGGCATCAAGTACATTGAAGTGAGCATTGTGCGGGAAAGCTGACCGAAAGGACAAGCCTAATTCATCCTATCTGTTACTGAAATGCGATTGACTTGATTCCTTAGTGAAACAAAAAATAAAAATATAAGAAAAGAAATTTGTAAAAGCCGATGCAGACCTGTGAAACAACCTAAATTCAGTTGTGAATCATTCTTTAAGAACAGTATGATTGGGAATACACAATAAATATGTTTTGCATTACAATTGTTGTTAGCAACTGAATGACGATTTTGGAAAACCCACGTTCCAACTGTGGCAAAAAATTCGGCTAAAGCAGAAACGAAAATCGAATTTAGTTGACTTTTCCTCAGAATGACTTGAATTCAAAAAGGGCGACTTCTTGTTTCACCCCGGTAAGGGTTGGTGTTATCGAATATAATCAAACATGAAGGTTGAAGAAAAATCGAGTAAAATGAGTTTTTGATTGTGAAACAAATTCTCCTCACTGCACCAATGGAAATGTATGGAGAACAATGTGGGGAAAATGCGTGCTCATATACAGCACTGAATTATTAGACGTGGTTGAGTTATAATATGAAGAATTATGCAAACCGAGGAGGCGGTCGGGATAACACCCTCCAATATCTGCCTAATTCTCTACATGTATCATTCAAAAGCCGAATTCAATCATTATTTCAGTTGTTATTCATTCAAAATATTTCCAACTTAAAAAAGCGTGAATACCTCGATCTACTTAAAGATCCCGTGTTCATATCATTGGTCAATTCCTCGGGAATTTCAGGATATGAAGGGATGTTTAGTCTAGCAGAAATTCTTTAAATAGCAATTGTTAACTGTTGAGTGGTATTTTTGCGAACCAGTGAGATCCTGTTCATCTCTGGTAAAAACAGCTGACCTACCGCGCCTTCTGCTGCCCCTATTTCTGTCGACATCACTTCAGTACAATTAACCACTCCAGAAAACACCATAACGTACCATAATACTGTTTGTTGGTCACTCCAAAATTTTGCATAAGCATTGTCTTCAGTTCCTCTTGAGAGTTACAAATGGCTCCAAAAGAAACTGCAAACAATGCATATGCAAAATTTTGGAGTGACCAACAAACAGTATTATGGTATGTTATGGTGAAGTGGTCAATTGGCGTGGATTGTATTAAGGTCGCCAAACATCTTCCAAATTTGTTCAACGCTAACTGGTTTTAAACAATAAGGCAAAGGATTTATGCCAATCCGAAACGGAAATAATTTGAATGAATAAGAAGGGTTTTCATCATGGTTCCAATAAGATCAAATGACGTGATGCAACTGTGAAACCGCACAGAATGTCGAAATGTCAGTCACTGTCAAAAATAGTCCTATTCAGGACTACACTCAACCGTTCCGTAGTAAGTAGGGTTCAATTTAGTTTTCTGGGAATCTGCCCACCTACCCCTCCCCTAAGGTAACATTAACACTTACCTCTCACTTAGGACAAAATGATGGCTTAGGGGAGGGGTAGGTGGGTAGTTTCCTAGAAAGCTAATTAAAATTGATCCGTAAGTAGACTTACCGATAAGCGCCAGACAGAGAATAATCTTTCACTTTATGCCGCATGTTACTGATGTCAAGTCCATCATCAGCCATGATTTTTTTGTAGTGATCTTTCATGTGGTTGTCAGGGTAAACAACATCATAACCAGGAAGTGGAAGAACGACGTCATGAATGGTGTACTGCCCGGATGTTAGATGCTCTTCCGTTAGTACTGTGACCGCGGTGCGACTGGGCTCAGAAATGAAGTCCACCACATCTTCCACTTGGAGCTTGTCTGCAATAACAGTGTAGTTAGGACTTTTAAATAAGTTGACTTCTCTCGAACAGCGCTCAAGCTTGCTTCATTGGCAAAAGTTTCCAAGCGGGAAACATAAGCGGGCTTAAGCAAAGAAAACGTTAACGTCCCAGACGCTTATAATGCATTTCTCAATGTCCTTGATAAGTGTTTGGAATGCGATATACCACATACATTAAAAAAAACTGACAAGGAAAGAGTAGTCAACCGTCTTAAAGGCTGGCACCGCTGGGACCTTAACAAAGAGAGGTTATCAACTCCGCTGCGCCCATTTTAAGGAAGGTCACCTCTGTAAAATTCGCGCAATTTGTAGTAATCAGTGCACTCTGTAGTCCTTTTCACATTTTCTACGATTACCTGTCGTATCGCGATTTTATTCGCGCCCCATTAAATTGTCATGTGAAGCTAAAGCAAATGTCCTGTGGTTGAATTGCTGGTTGGGGAGAGCATCCAACATCAAATAGCGGCAGTAAAATTTATGACATGTGTTTTGGTAAATTTCAAAAAAAGTTCAAGTTTTAGTAACCTGAGATCATGCCCAATTTTCGTTTCGCTTTGTAAATAACATTCCGGCGGGAAAGGCGAAACGAAAAGAGATTTTTTAGCGGTAGCCCTTAGAGAGAATGTATGAGAACTGCTAACATTGGGCCTGATCTCAGGTTAAAGTTGTAGTCATGCAGTGACAAGACAAGCAACAAAATTGTGATGCACTTGCAAAGATGAAGTTTGTCTGTTTTATTTCTCCCGAACTTTAACTCTTTTCTTGGACATCAAGGTTGACATTGCGGTCGTGTTTCTTGTTTCTGGTACGAACTTTACTGGGGACGTACCAATCAGCTATTGGCCAAAACGCCATTTGCACGATGGCGTCATTTTACTACTTCTACCAAAATCCATTTCGTTTTTCCTTTCATATTTAAATTTGGTAATCCCAGCGAGGTTTAAAACAACAAAAGCCCTAATTTGCACAAGAAAGCAAAACACTGCAGCATTCTGGTAGTAGTAGTTGTAGTAGTAAAATGACGTCATCGTGCAAATGGCCTACTGTTTTTCCCTGTCCCAGGTAACAGTCCCAGAAGTCTTTGCGAAAGTAACTCGGCTCAGCTCTCTTTTCCTTTCTAAAGCGCCGAATTACTCAGGTTGCATCCAACGTCAATTTTTTGAAAATATCTGTTCGAAGAACTATTTGAGATCTAGAATTTTCGGAACATTTGTTGTAAAATTTCTTGCTTGCCTGCCTCTCCTACGATTTCCAAAAATCTATAAAATGGTATAATTGCCCTTTTTTAACGGATTTTTACCCGAAAAAGGTCACCTAGAATTTTCGGTAGCCTTTTTTCAGGCTGAAATTTTCGAAAAGGTAAGTTTTGATCCCTATAATTTTCGGATCACTAGACTTTAAGCTAGGAAATCCGAACAGATGAAAAATTTTCAGGGGATAAAAATATGCCTATATCTACCGTTTAAATGCTAAAATACGTTCAACAATCCTATGTTTAAGTGGTTTTGAACTATATTCTTGTTGGGTGCCCCTGATTTCTAGGGAGAACTGATAGAAAACATTAAATAGGAAAAACAAATCAAAGAGAGGTCGAACAAAAATGGGATCATCCACGAGATAATTTTTTTTTCAAACCCTAGTACATTGAATAATACAAAGTTTCTGATACCCACCACTGTTAACTGTACAATCAGTTGATTTCTTTGATGTCACTACAAGGTCTCCTTTGACAGGTTGTAATCCATAGTCCTAATAAAGTGTAAACAAATATGAACCTTCTCCAGGCGTTCAGATAGTAAAGTGCGGCTTCATTTGGCCATTTGCATGATGGCATCATTTTACTACTACTACCAGAATCCTTTTCGTGTTTCCTTTCATGTTCAAATTTGGTAATCTCAGCGAGGTTTGAATAGCAAAAGGTCTAATTTGCACAAGAAAGCAAACCTCTGAAGGATTCTGGTCGAAGTAGTAAAATGACGTCATCATGAAAATGGCCTTTTGCAACGTTTTAACAATCTGAACGTCTTGAGCTAGCTGAACAAATATTGGTATTAACAATTTCCTGCTCAGTAGAGATCACAAAATCGTCGGCCAAGGTGGCTATTCCATATTTGAAAAATACACAAAATAAAGAGGTCTTTTGTTTGGTAAACGCAGGGCGAATTCCCACATCCACTCTGAGACTCCTTTCCGCAGTAAACGTGGCCTTTCTTACAAATTAAAAAAAGGTTTTAGGGTTCGGGTTAGGGTTAGGGATAGGGTTAGTGGTTAGGGTTAGGGGTTAGGATTACGTTTAGAGTTAGGGTCAGGATTGTGGAAGAGGATCACAGAGTGGATCTGGGAATTCGCTTCCCCTTTTGTTTTACGTCATCTGTGTCCGCGTGCACGATGTAAAAACGAAAATATGTTGTGCGTTCGTATCGACAGAGCGCAGGAGATACGACTACCTTCCATACACGTGTACTTGGAAATCTCTTTAAACCTCTTTATCGGATCAATATTTTCGAGTTAACGCTTTTAAAAAAATTCCGTCATACAGTTAAAATCTCTAAACTGGCATTAAAACAAATTCTGACTTTTATCCAGACATACGTATGATAAACATGCAAGAACAATTATTTACGCATACATGACTTGTATGTACTAAAAGAAAGAGTAACATACGCGCTGTATCACCTTTGGCTACTTTTACATGTAGGTCGGCCTATTTGTGTTTTTTGAATAATTAGCTTAATGTCTAGAGTCCGCAATAAATGGCTATGCTCTTGCAGTAACCCCACCTTGGATTATCACTGAAAGCATGCACGATCTTTTACTAGTAAGAATTAAAACTACTATCAAGTAAGAATCACTTGAAATAATAATAGACAACGTCAGAAATACCTTAATCCGTTTAGAGGCCATGGAGTTCCACACATAGCTCTGATAGGCATGAACATACATGAGTCTTGTGTTCCTGGAGATACTCTGTAAAGCATTGACCAGTCCTGATGGCCCATGTCTAACTAGGCCTTGTAAGAGATCACTCTCTATACACTTCCCCCTGGGGATCTTTTTCAGAGTTTCTCTGGCATTCTTCGTGTCCTTCCAATGCTGACGAGCTGTTCTCAAGTCATCTGGTTCCCCATCACGTGGATTAAGAAGGAGATCAATCGCTTCTGACCATTTGCTTAGAAGCAATGTAAGACCTGGAAGTGTGGCATTAAAAACATATATGGTTACAGTGGCGGATTCAGGGGAGGGGCCCAGGGGCCTGCACCCCCCCACCCTTAATTTGGACCAAACTGCTCCCCCCTTATCTCAAGGTCTGGATCCGACACTGGGTTAGAAAGTGAAGTAAGCTCCTCCCTCAAAACAGGAGAACTACTGATAGAAATGTGATGGTGAATTTTAAGCTTGGTGAGTAGATGAGGAAGATGTTATTCAGTCAATGAACAAGGCGGCTTGGAAGAAAACATCCGAGTACGCCCACCAGGAGTCGAGCCTGCAAGTAGGGCCGTCTGGTTACTAGTGCCGATGCTCTACCACTGAGCCACGGAAGACTGGTGGGAGCTAAGGCCACTAAACTAGGTTCATGTGACAAACATCCTGCATACAGCTAGGATTAGAATATCAGTGATTTTGTTACAAATAGTTATGGTGAGTCCTGGGACTCATCTTGTGAAAAATCATGAGTCCCAGTTTAAAAAAAACAGTCTGAAATTAAAATGCTTGGACCTTTATGTAACCAGACAGTTAGTCTGAAGACAGACTCCAAAACTCTGTATTACAGTACACTGAAATTAAAATATAGTCCCTCTATTTTAAAGCACAACAAAGGCTAAAAGAAATATGCATCATTAACCAACATTCATAATAACTGCAACAAACATTATGCCAACAAGCCGGTCAGATATTTCTACAAAATAATTAATATACATTTTCAGATCAATCCATCAATCTTTGCATCCTACAGGATGCATGCCATGAATTGTTTTGGGCCTTTGGGGATTTTAATACGTCAATGGTAAAGGACGTACAGGTAACAAAATCACTGGAATATCGCTATGACTGTGCTCTTAGTCAGTGGCACAGGCTACTTGAAAGAAAAAAATCCAAATACTCCCTATGACCCTCTTGTTTAGTAGCCCACATGCTGTACCAAAAAGCAACAGGGGACTTGTAAGAGCTACTTGTAAGGTCACTAAACTAGGTTCATGTAACAAACATCCTGCTTATGTTCAATGATGGGAAAGTGATGGCATCCCGACTAGTAACCAGAAGGTCACAGGTTCAATTCCTAATGGAAGTACTCTGTCACTATTTCTACCAAACCACCTGTGGCATGTGTTACTAACTTAATAACGTCTTTCTCAGGAGCACTGTTGTGCCACAGTCACATGGGAACAGATTCAATGCAATATGGCATGAGGGCACAAACAGAACCCATTTTGAGAGGATTATTTTATTAGTATTAACTTGTTCTCTCATGGTCAATTTATTGTCTCAAGGTTATGTGACAGTGTGCAAGTGCATAGGGCAAAGTATTGCTGGTTTGCAAATGACATCACGGCAGCCATGTTAGTGGTCATGAACAAACTTAACTCCATTAATTTTTCATGTAAATTATTTGTAAAAAATAATTTCATTGACCACCAACATGACTGTCCAGTTGCCATGTGGCTACAAGGTTACAAACAAGGTGACAAACCAACTGAAGAATAAGAAAATATACTCATGCTTCTTCCCCAAACAATTAAGGCTTTTTAGCCTTCTTTCTCGCCCAGGGTGGGGGAAGGGGGGGGGGGGGTGTTAATGACATGATAATGGGGGTTAGGGTACAAGGTGGTTGTTGTCTCAAATAGAATTTGCATACATTACAGACATTATCTCACATATACGTATCAATGAGGTTGCTCCTTGTGGCTGTGTGAAAGGACATTAAAAAAAAGCAGAAGAAAAAAACAACAACAACATAGTAGTTACCTATTTTATGTGTTGGAACTGATGTGGTTCCAAACCGCTGCAGACCAAAGTAGGTGATAAAACCATTGACCTTTAATGACTCCAAACTCTCCTCAATGGTACTATGATCTCCAGTAACATTGCGAAGTGTGACAATAAACTGATTTCCTGACAGAGAACCAAGTTTTAGAGGCTCTTTACAATATCTAAAGTTCCCAACACACAAATTCCTTAGGGTGCTGTTAAGATTCTGTAACTGTTCAGCCCTGACCCTGTAGACAGAGACCCACTGAGTGGTGATAGCCCTACGATCTTTTGTTCCAGCATAACCAAACATGCCTGATTTGAGCTTCAGGAGTTTGCTCAACAGGTTGATAGCATCCATAGCGTCTTTGTTTTCCTTATAAAGGACAAACCAACAATAATTCTCAAGCTCTGATGGCCACCTTGTGCCTCTTCGATTGCCAGTAGAGTCTTGTTTATGGAAAACTCTAACCGCTTTTTGGCTACCAACATCAACTGTGTCACTGTCTAGAATAGACAAAAGAATTCTTATGATAAGTGTTGATTCTAAAACTGTAACTCAAGGAAATATTATTGTTGCTTGCTGTGACTATAGGCTGGAAAAATGTATACATGTATGTTAAATATAAAGATGAATGCCTCAATAAAATAAAGTGAACTACAGGAATTCTTTAATGTTAAGACCAAATCAAAGTACATTATAATTATTGTATACCAGCAGGTGCTTTCAATAAAAAGTGAAGTAGCCAGCAGGTTTGAATAGAGTAACCGGCTGTATCAACAATGGGCCATTAGTCCCGTTTTTCTAAGGGGAGGGGGGTGTCTGGGGAGTGACATGGTTCCCCAGAAAATTTTGCCCTAAAATGCGATTTTCAGCTTTCTGGGGGCTCAATTGAGGACAAAAGACCTTGTTTTTCATTCAAGAAAATGTAGCTTTCATAATTCAACTTTTGATTCATCAGTCACAATCAATTCCTACAAGCAATGAACAAATGATGAAAACTAAATTACGTACTTTAGCACGTAAACAAATTCTGGGTGGACCTATAAAGAAATTTCTGAAAAATTGACTGAAAAATAGCGTTCACATGACATAACATAAAACCAGTGGGCCTTTATGAAAAAACATCAAAAGACCTGTCTAGGACTACATGTAATACCCAAACAAAAATTAATTATTATTTTTCTCATCACCAGCAGCATGCAGTTTAAATATACTAACCAATAACAAACTGATTTTTGTTGGGGTATTTCACTCAAATACTAACAAAGGAACCCTGGCCTATTTCTAAACCCTCAGTTTTTTAATGCCCCATAATTTCAATCAAAACCTTCTTCCCTTTCCAAGTCACACAAAGTCCCAGATTTTTCAAACCCTCCAGTAATTTGGCTAATTTCCCTCTCCCGGAGAGGTTAAAAAAAATCAGGATTCAACTGCACTAATTTTCCCTTCCATTTCCCTTTCCATTTTTTGCACATGATTATGGAAGTTACACATCTGGGCCCAGTTGTTTGAACGCCGATTAGCGCTAACCTGGGGTTAAATTTTAACCTGGGTTTCTTTTTCTTTTTATCAAAAGCACTATCTCAGATAATTTTCTCTATTTTTTTAGCATATCCAATCATCAAATTGTAGGCAAAGAGAATTCAACTGAATTGGCTTTTTAAGCTCTCATATCTGAGTTCAAAATTTGCACTAACCCTGGGTTATCTTAACCCAGCTTCGAACAACCCGGCCCTGAATATAGGAAAGGGACTTCAATCAATATTATTAGGAGGAGAAGGAAAATGAATGGGTAAAGAAAGCATAATTAGCAGAGCAAGAAAAATAGTGTACAATTGAGAAAGGTCAGCTTACTGGGCTTTTCAAAAACACATGAATTCTGCATTTCAAAAGCCGCCTTCACAATTTCATTTTTTGCTGCGGTCAATCATAATTACGATCATGAGCAATGAACCTTGAAACACAGAAACACACAAAACGGATCAAAATCCACCAATCACAAATCAATTTTGAACCCATTGAAGTAAACTTCTGATTTCTAAGGGGTCCACTAAGATGATTGACGGCAGCGAGGAACACAAACATCAGCTGGCTTTTAAACTTCAGAATTCATGTGTCTTTGAAAAGTGCAGTTAAGTGTAGAAAGGAAAGCTGGGGACATGTTAGCAAAAAGCAACCTTGTCTTCATGACCTCTCCTCTGCCCCTCCTTGCTCACTCTGAGAAGGGGAAAGAGATGACCCTGGGAGGGGAGCAAGATAGATAAAAAAGGCTGTTGTGGTTCAATTTTGTCCTTGGTTTAATTTTTTTTCTTTGTTTCAACCTGATCAACATACCTTACCATACTCCAAAATAAAGCAAAATAAAATTTTCACCCAGGATAAAACTGAACCACAACAAAGGCCAATCCTTATTTGCCTTTACAAATCCTGCAAGCAGAGGTCCTGCCATTTTTGTACAATGTAAAGCCTGTACCTGCAGGTTACCTCACCCTTACCAACCTCACCCCCACCCCCACCCCACCCTTCTCTCTGAGGGAAAAAAAGAAAAAAAATCAAGGAGAAGGAAAGAAAAGAAAATGTATAAATTATTGCAATATTTTATATAGATACCTAAAGCTGAGAAGTTTTCCCTGATTGCACGATGAACCAATCTCCTGTGATCTTTGTCATCATCAGGTGATAATGTCACTGACATTTTCTTTTCCTCATCATCGGCAACCTTCTTGATTTTGTCTTTATCCTCTTCGCTCAAAATATCAAGATCAAATTCTTTGCTCTTCTCATTTTGAGGAACCGACACATCTGTCAAACGCACAAGATTCCCTTTAAGATCTCGCTCGCTCACAATAAAATCAGCGTATCTTTGCTTGAGAACACCATGGAAGCCCGGTAAACTGCTGACAAATTCTAGAATTCCAACATCCTTTTCAGATACACTCACATATTTCAAACTCCCAGGTTTTGTTTTAGCAGAAACCTGACTTGGTTTCTTCTCGTCCCCATCGAAGATTTCCTCTGTTTTGTTAAGTTTATCATTTTGCACGTGTTCACTGACGTGTTGAACAGGGCAAGTCAACCATGCACTTTTTTCGGGATTTAATTTTTCTCTACTCTCACATTGAGTCTGCTTAGTCTTCAATTCCTCATTCGCACTTTGATTCACTGTACTAGTTGACTCCAGGGATATTCTTGGACGTTTTGATTCAGGTTCAAAATTTAACCCTTGTTGATCGGCCATCTTGAAAGTGCGCCCGCAATCGATCTCACAGTCGATAATCGATAAATAGTCGATAAGTTGTCAAATTCTAAGTTCCAGTCTCCTTTCTGCTACACGCTGGCTTCACTCCCAAGGTGCCGTCTCTCGTTTCGTCTCGTTTATTTTTAAGATCATGTCCGCCTCTGAGAATTCCACAATGAAAGCAGTTCTTTATAAGCCTGGAGGTGTGGAAAACCTATATACGGGTACAGTGGCGAAGCCTTCAGCAGAGAAAACTCAAGTATTAATCCGCGTTCGCTACTCAGCGATTAACCGAGCTGACACATTGCAGCGTCAAGGTCTCTACCCCCCTTTGCCGGGGGAATCTGAAATCTTAGGATTGGAAGTCTCTGGTTTAATAGAGGAGGTGGGCGATGAATGTGTTGGAAAATGGAAGTAAGTTCTTATGTAAAGCAGCTGGGGGATTAAACAAAATCAATCATCTGAATGCTCAAAAAGCTTGTTGCTATATTTAGGCTACTCCTCAAAATACCCGCGGGAAATAAACTTGGGCGTCACAAAACTGGAACAAATTTAAGCGGCTAAAGACAATTTTTGACCAATTAATCAATATTAAGATAATACTATTTCACTAGTTCACTTGATTTCTAGCTTGATTTTCTTGTCAAAAATAATACCATCCTAGTTAGACTGTCCAAATGAGAGGTAGATTGGACGTACTAGTGTTACCCATTGTAATCCCGGGAATGTAATGTTTGCATAATTGGTATTAGATAAATGGTTTGAATATAGGAGTCATATCATAAATAGCGTGGCATGTGAGCGTCCGGGTGAGTGTATTCCGTGTGGAACTACACTCCCACGGTCGACAATAAACAGTCGATCACAGGTCTACATTCACTGCACCTTGACGATCATAGTCCACCCCTTGACAAATCAAGTCTGGTGAGAGCCTAGATCTCCTGGGATCCACCTCAATCGACTCTCGATGTGGCTACGCATATCGAGGTCCTTTTTTAGTGTCTACTTGCAGTGAAATGACTACAGTGTAGTATGTATCAGTATGATCCAGTGTGAAGAAGCATTGATGCATAAATGTGCGGTGATGCGGTGAAAGCGCCGTAACAATAGAGAAAACGGGTGACTTTTGTCTAACTCTGGCTGAAATGTGATGAAGCAGATTGTTGTAGTTGAAGGGTTCAACCAGTAATCATTTTCACAAATAAAGGGAAGTAAAAGAGAAAGAAAATAAGTTGCAGCTTTCAACATTGAATCGGGTCTTTTACGCTAGCGAGTAACTTTTGCAGTTTGAAAAACTGGGCATTAGTAAAATTTCGAGATCGGAGCACAGATCTTATTCCGGAGTAAGGATTAGATATAACGATGATGCAGCAGTTATATAAGGGAGATGTCTTGAATTTCTAGCAGAATCAGTTGCAGACATGTTGCGTTCCAAAACTTACCGCATGATATCAGTCACCCATTGTCTTTGTTTAAAATTCTCCCACTGAGAAAAAAATGCTGCACTGTTATTTCACATCGTGACTGCAAACAGTCTTTCATTTGTCTTTTTTAAATTAAATTTGCAAAATTTTACTTTGCCCTCATGCACCGCGCGTGGCTCTGAGGAAAGAACGACACCATTTCACGTCTGTCTAGGATCACCCACCCTAATAATCGCGCACGCAAGGGCCAGCCCATGTTCTTTTTCAGTTCATTATTACTTCTTTCATTGTGTCGATTTCATTTTCACACTCCAGTGATAAATATAATTATGAGCAAAACCCTTATTCCTTTTATTTTATTTTCGCCATTGTCTAATTTACCTGAGAAGCAAGACAAGGCCAATATGCCTTAATTGGCTTCTTGGCTCGCTGATCACAAAACAAGCTGTAGCAGCTGTAAAGCAAACGGAACCCCACCGGTGATGGCTACGAGCGTATGGCAAAAAAATCACTGGGCTCATAATTCCTGGTCTGCCTTAACCTGCGATCGGGCGTCCTTTCTTGCGGGGTCGGCGGACGGCGGGTAAAGGGGAAAAAGAACGCCCCTTTTCACCTCGCCTAAGGACCGCCTGATCGTAGGTTGGGTCTCCAAGTATTTGCTAAAAACGGAAAAAAAACGGGGCTGGAAGTGCGTGAACGGAGAAGTAAAAGGATTCCTCAGTTATCATTTCCGAGCCACCTGAAGCGAATTTTACTCTAAAACGGCCTCACACTTCAGTTCTCGTATATCTCTCTGTAATCGCTTCTATCTTCTAAACTTGCAGTCGTCCGCTGCCATCATTTAAGGAGCTTTAGCAACTTTTTTTACGACGGCGACGGCACCGACAACGTCAAAAAGCAATAGGTTTATTGAGTAAAACAACAAGTTTGAACGTGCATCACTCTTATATTATTTTTCTGGCTGTCACTGCACGACTACACGTAAACAAGCGACGAAGAATTTGTCTTTCACTTTCCAAACTTAAAGGTGGTCCCAAATAAATCAACTCCAGGGAAATTCCCTACATTTGACATTTTCAACGAACTGGAATAAACGCGACAAAGTGAGAAAAAACTCGAATTCATTTTTAAAGTGATGTTCTCGCTGCCGTCGCCTTCGTCGATGCAAAAAACTCCCTATTAGGGAGCTTACAAACACGGCGATGGCTACACGAAAACGTCACTTAAACAGTGAAGTCGCCCTTATTCCATCTCGTTCAGTTCGTCAAATGCTGGCAAAATGTCCGGAGTTGAAATTAGGCAGTTTCACGTTGTTGTCGTGCGGTGACGGCACAAGTGAAACGGAGTTATGTCCAAACTAGAAAGAAGGAATCCCTCCCTCGGTGCGGCGCTTAAGTTAAGCCGGCCGGCTGCTGGGCCAGTGCATGCAGTTGAAACCTTACTCCTCAGGGGTCTCATATCTCAGTCGGCAGGGAATTAACTTATAATCCGGAAGTCGTTTGCCTCGCCTGTTCCCTAATTCCCTTTCAGGGTAGGGCTAAGGCTTGGTTGCGCCTATGGTCATATGGGCTTCGCTCTATCTTCAGCTTTTAACTTTTTTAACTTGAGAGGTTTATTCTAACGTAAGGGTCTAAGGGAAAGTTAAGTCAATGGCAGGTGATACGGAATTGACCAACGATGTCTTTCTCCGTTATCTATAGACCCGACTCCTTGTAACATCAATGCTTTGTCATGAGAATTACAGACATGATCACACAAGATGAATTTGCTTGATATTTTATCAACTTCTCCCCACTACTTCTGTAGGAAATGAATAGGGGCAACAAATGAGAATTCAAATTTTGATCTTAGGGTTTAAAGGGTTAAGTTTCCCTCACAATCCCCATAACCGAGCCAAACCAAGTGAAGAGAGCCGAATTTGTTCCGGTCTCATCCTAAGCATTGCCACAGGTATTTCTTCGCATTCAACCAGCGACCATGCAAGAAAGAGACAGTAATAACGATAGTTCGCGAAATTTTACAGACTTTAGCTCACCATTCAAATGCCAGAGAAATCTCTCTCGACTTTACGGGGGAGTTATATCTTCGCTCGTTTCTGACATATCACTCTCAAACCTTTAAAAATTTTGAGGCCCTCTTTGTGTTGTTGGATTATCGCTCCTTTTGTTCTTCGCCAAAAGTTGAAAAAACGAGGGATGCTTTATTGACCACTTAAATAGCATGACCCCACGACTAGTTATCTAGTCTATTAACTCAGCCCTTCTTTCCTTAGCTTCGCAAAGTATTTTAAGGCACTTTTACGTTCTTTTTTGTAGGAAAGGTGACCAAGTTATGGCCTTATTAGGAGGTAAGGAATGCTGACACTCTAAATACGTTTCTGGGAAACTGCCCACCTACCCCTCCCCTAAGCCAACATTAACACTTACTTCTCACTAAGGGCAAAGTGTTAGCTTTGGGGAGGGGTAGGTGGGCGGTTTCCCAGAACGTATAATGATCCAAAATACACACAGTACATGCACACAGCGTTACTTTGAAGGATGGAAAAACTGGCAAAACAATATTGTGTATGTTTGACTCTGATTCTTATAATTAAATACTTATTGTTAACAGAGAAAAGATAAAATTTGAAAACGTACTGTACGTTTAATTTCAGTTCACTCACCAAATCAAAGACAAAGAACAAAATAAACTATTGCGTCATTCGAACACCTGGCTCATGGGGTTGCTACATTTACTCTTCCTATGATAATCAATAATTTATTGGACATCTAAATTTGTTAGTTAAGTCCATCTTCTAGCAACAGATTTACAGAATCAGCAGTAACCTGTTTTAAACAAAACACGGACGAGATCAAATCAACCCCTTTACCCGCGAAATGATAAAAACTTTGATCCGATCATATCCGATCCAGTTATTAGTTATTAATAAGGAGGACACAGGATATAGACGGCAGTGAAAACGTCATTTATATTAAGGGCATTTGCATTCTTTAAAAATTTACGGCGGTTACTGTAACTGACTCAATTAGTGAGATGAAGGCAAGTTTTCCTGTAGTTGAATTTAGAGAGCACGTCAAAGGTTAAAAGAGAGAGGAGAAAAATGTCGTCCAACGTTTAAGTCCTCTAAAAAATGTCAAATTCATGGACGTTCGACGTTTTAGTCGTGCAGTCACAACGATGAAATGTACAAAAAAGCGTGATGCACGTGCAGTGAGTCGTTTTTATGACGATCCCGTTATCGTCGCCGTCGTTTTAGCCTGCGCCACAGAAGAAACTAAGCCTCTGATCTGGTTAAGTCCGTCTGCGAATCAGCGCGGAAATCCTTGTTCTGGGTCCCACCTGTTAACCAGGATTTGAGTACGCCCCATGATTGGTCTGTTAAAAAAGCCATTGTTGAATTGCCAATCAGGATGAAAGAAAATTCGAGACGCGCCGCCCGGTAATTAGTTGAATCCGTCGGGGGCCCAGAACAAGGAAATCGGTGCTGCTTCGTCTGCTGCTTCTAGTCTCCTTCGCAGCCGTTATTAGGGTCGTCACGCAAAGCTCCTCCCGACTAGTTAGTTGGGAGAAGCGTTGCGTGACGCCCTAATAACGGCTGCGAAGGAGACTATGCTGCCTCGCACTAACCAAGGTTAAATTATGTCTCCAACACAGGCTACCGTCGTTGTTGCTTTTAAGGAACTCCCTACGTATTGTGAACGGCCTCTCTAAACTACCTTCTAAATTTTTTTTTTGTTATTGCTTTTAAAGGTGGAGGTTATGCAGAATATGTGGCTGTTGATGAAGCACTTGTAATGCCTGTCCCAGACTCTTTCAAACTCTCGGATGCTGCAGCCATCCCTGAAGTTTGGTTAACAGCATATCAACTGTTGCATTTTCTTGGCAAAGTTAAAAGCGGCGAAGTAGTATTAATCCATGCCGGGGGCAGTGGCGTTGGTACTGCTCTGGTACAACTGTCAAGGTTAGCCGGAGCAAGGCCTTTTGTTACTGCAGGATCAGAGGAAAAGATTAAGATGGCTGAGTCACTAGGAGCTGAAGGAGGCTTCAACTACAAAACAGGAAATTTCTCCAGTTGGGTGGAAAATGTTACAAATGGTACTTGATGTTGTTACTTGAGTGGAGTCCAATTCGGTCTGTAATCATACGAGTGAATAACGAAATCAGACGACTGCATAACGGGAGTTTGATTTGTTTAATCATGAGTATGATTTCAGACCAAATTGGACGACACGAAATTCTGTTACCAATTAATCATAACTATAACAAAATTTGTTATATTTTAGACTATTTTCTTATTAAAACGCAAGAAATTCCTAGAGTTTTTTTTTGCTAGCAGTGAAAAAAGGCCATTTAAGCACGCGTGTGCGATGGCGCGTACTGTCCCATTACACCGTCCTATTAGTGCGAAAATCAGAACAGTTGATAGCCAATCAGATTTTGAGAATTTTGTTATAGTTATGATTAAGGATGAACAAAAGTAAAATCGTGGTGTTGTGATCTCCTCAGATACCGTGGGTGCCAGAGTTTTTTTTCTCACTTGCAGTGGAATACTTCGGTTTTGCTCGCAGGAGACAGGTGACTTGATCGAAACAAGGAACGCCGCTTGAAAAGCCTCTGGCATCTAGTGTATTCCTGAGATTGCAACTCTGTGAAACTGAGCCTGTATGCAGATGTCCCCTACCCCGCTTAATGGACACCTCAGTATTATGCACAGTTAGCTTTGTCTCTGAAGAAAGACAGCCCTCACATTTCCTCTAAATTCAACCCGCTCAGTACGGAGACCCCGTTAATAAGGACACTTTCTATGGCCCCCACAGTGTCCGTACCAACAAGGTGTAACCGTATCATATTATTTTTCTGTCTCAAGAGCCTGTTCTTGCTCCCATTTTTCACTCACCCTGCAGAAAGAATATATTTCAACCTATCTACATTTTCTGTTTGTACAGTCACATAGCATAGATTTAATGCTTTATCAATTGACGGTACTTACCATTAATACGTGTATTCTTCCAGGTCAAGCAGCAAATGTGATCCTTGATTGTGTGGGGAGCTCATTCTGGGAACAGAATATAAAGAGTATTGCTGTTGATGGTCGTTGGATCTTGTATGGATTGTTGGGTGGTAATAACGTCTCAGGTAACCTCCTTGGACCTGTCCTCAAGAAGAGAGTTTCACTTATAGGGACAACACTCAAGAGTAGACCACTTGCTGTAAGTTATTATTCTCTGAAGTATTAGGATCAGAATAAAATGGAGCTAGAGAGAAAAATCATAAAAAGAATCATCTTTTTAGTAAGATTTATGTCGTAACATATTTGTTAGCCAGGCACAGGCATTGAAACTTAAAACCTAACAGACTGATGCATACCTCAATCTACCCACTGAACCCTTCCCGCCCACTTCCAGAAAAAAACGTTTATTGCATCAAATTGTGCTGTGTAGGAGGGTTTTACACGTTCACTATGTTAATAGTTATTTCTTTGTGTCTGCGCGTGAAAAGGCAAGGGATGAGGGAATTTACAATCTAACGACGGAAACGAGAACGTCCCTAAAAACTGAATTTACGTTCTTTCAGTCATACTTTGTCAAAGTAGGTGAACCCTCCTCAAGTTTAATTCCAAGCGACTCTATCCAAGTTCAAACCTGTACAAACTGTAAGTGGTGGAAGTGAGCGTGTACCACTTTTCATTACCTATGGTGCCTCACCGTACTTTTTGATCATTTTGCAGTACAAAAAAGAGCTGGTAGAGGAGTTTTCAGACAGAATTGTTCCACAGTTTGCAAATGGGACACTCAAGACTATTGTGGATTCAGTTTTCACCATTGATGAAATCCAGCTAGCTCACAAAAGAATGGAGTCTAATGAAAATATCGGAAAAATTGTTTTACAAATAATGTAAGACTGTCAAATATGACCTCTAGCCAAGAAGAGTCAACTTTAATTTCTCCATTTTTTTTTTCCAATCTTTCTTTTTTTTATTTACATATTTATGATTGCTTTTATTGTACATATAGCTCAAGAGAGGAATTTTGTTAAGTACCCAAAAAGAATAGCAAATAGTGAGAGAGACTTTGCCAGTAGCACTTTAAACGTATTTCTGGCCACTTAGGGAACTTATTATAGCAACAACGACAGCGGTGGCAACAAATTGAAGCAACATATATAGGTTTAACAAGCAAGACAACAACTCTGTACCTGCATAACATATACTTTTCAGTTGCTTTCCAGAACAGTTAGTTTCTCTGCCGTCACTTTCCATCACATTATCTACAGAATAAACCAAAGAGGAGCATTTTGAAATTAAAGATAATAAAAAGCTTTAAAGGTCAAAATAGGTAATACTTTCTGGTCACATTAAACCGTAGCTCTCTTGACCTTTGATATTAAGTGCTTTAAATTTCTTCATACAATAAGACTAGAATAAGTTGCAAAATTTCATTTGAGTTTTAAAGTTTAAGTATACTTTCATAAAATATACAGGATGCAAATCCTTCTCTTTTTTGTGTACAGTTTGCTTGCACTTGCAATGTGGCCACTATGGCTAAACCAAGAAACTGCTGTCCTGACCAAGGGCCATAAATGTAGCAACCATTTTTTCTTTATGATGCAGGATTATCTGATAAAGCTCAGAAGCTGTTGGCTTGTCACAAGCAAGTAGAATGTTATGGTACTACGGAAGAAATTTTAGTTGACTACTGTTCTTTTACCATTTACGTTTATTTATATTTTCCTTTAAATTGGTTCAGACAAAGGGAAACAAACCATGTGTGACCATTAAACTTGATGTTCATCACTTGAAAGTGTTACAAAAGACAAGGATCTGCTAGGGTGGTTCGGTGTGCTACTCCCCCCCCTCCCCTCCCCCTTACAATTATAATTTCTGATACCTAAAACTGAGAAGAGTGCCCTCTTTGCACGATAAACCATTCTTCTGTGATCCTTTCATGCCACTATAATATTTCTTATGGTCTTCCCACTTGAGAAACCTACCTGTCGTTAAATGCCTGACAAGACTGACAACAAGATCCCACTCCCATACAGTAAACTCTGCATATCTATGTTTTAGAATGCCATGAGTACTCTCTTTACTAAAATCCAAATCTGGACTTTTTAATCCAAACAAGGATATTTTGTTTCTTTACTAAACTCCAAAAACAGATTATTGATTGAAATGATCCACAATGGAGGTGGATTCTTTTGATGACCTTTGATCATATCCAAAACCTAATACTTTGAATACATGATCCGCAGTGTTTCTTTACTGTGTATCCGAAAAGAATGAATATTGCCAGTGGTGACTCAAAACAATTTTAATACATACATCAGCTTTTTGACACGACTGCTTATCTTTACGGCCATTTTGGAACCATAGTCATGGATGGGTGGGCTAATAGCCCCGTAAGAAAGCGAGCTCACCTCATACTCATAGTGAACAAGCTCCGTAATATAAAGAGTTAGCCCTGTTAGAAATCCATCAACTGTTTCAATTTTGACTACCTTCAGCTACAAACATCGATTTCAATCAACCACCTGAAGCGTTCCATTTATACTTGGCCACACTTTGCGCGAGCAGTGTGAAAGAGCAGGTTTATTAATGGCCATGGTGGTAAAGTCCAGTTTCGGTTGACTCCAAGCACTGTCTAAAGGATAAAGACCGCCATCCGCCATCTTAAAATTGCGCCCGCGATCGATTGCGATGTTTTCGTGAGAACAAAAACCTTCAAGTATCGTTGTCAATGTGTACCATGCATAGTTCCAGGCTTCTCTCGGTGGAAAGATGACTCATATTACAAAAGAAGTCGCACGTCTGTGTTTCATATCGTTCATTCTTGAAATCGTGCTTTTGTCTGGGAATTCCACAATGAGAGCAGTTCTTTATATGCCTGGTGGTGTAGAAAATCTTTATATTGGTACAGTAACAAAGCCAAAAGTAGAGAAAACTAAGGTGTTAATCCGCGCTCACTACACGGCGATCAATCGAGCTGACACATTACAGCGCCGGGGGCTGTATCCTCCTCCTCCGGGGGAATCAGATATCCTGGGGTTGGAAGTTGCCGGTGTGATAGAGGAGATTGGCGAGGAATGTGCTGGAAAGTGGACGTAAGTATTTAATACAGTTAACACTTGCGTCGATATCTATGGAGGGGGCATATGGATCTGGAACCCTCCCCCCCCCCCGCTTCGCCACCTCCTCCCCAGGGGGATGTCCATTTTTTTTATCCTAACCCCCCCTTTAAAGATGACTGGAAACCAAACACTCAAATTTTTGTGAGCGCCCTTTGAAAAATTTGTCTGCATTAAGGGACAAAATTTTGTCGGCATCTCTGAAAAAAAAAAATCAGCAACCCCTATTCAAAAACCCGTCATCCTTACAGGGACAGGGAAAAGGGAGTCAAGAAAGGAACTGTCTGAAGATTATTGAACATATTGGGCAAATACGGAGGGGGTTATCATGTTCTAGTGAAACTGCCCAAATTATCACATAATTTGCCCATTGTTTGTTTTGCTGTAAGTTGTTTTAACCTGGGCGCCATGAAAAGCTATGTTTGGTTTTGTTTGTTGAATGAATTATTTCTGCTCTTTTTCTTCTTTTTCCTTCTCTCTCTGTCACACAATGTTGCGTGACAGACAGAGAGGTACCAGAACTGGACTACCGGTAGTTCTTGATGTGACAGGGATATAAAACAGAATGACACTGATGAAGAATAACTGGGGGAAGGCAAGGAACTACACAGCCTGTACTGAGTCCATGAGGATGTCTGAGTTATCCTTATGGGTCTGACTGCATCAACAAAATTAAACCTGGCTTTATTTTCTTAACTCACTGCTGGTATCTATTTGACCAGTCCAAGTGTAGGATTTATCAGATACACCACTATAAACATTTTTAAAAAGATTTTCTTTTTTTTAATTCAGTACAAAGGATTGTTATGATCACTGTTTTCTTTTCTTGTTTTTTTTTCTTTCATAGGAGAGGTGACCATGTTATGGCCTTGTTAGGTGGTGAGTACAAAAATTTTGTTATTTCGACCCATTCGAAGGATATCTGTGTTTGAAGTAAGAGTCACCAAATCTCCCAGATAAAATTGACTCTCAGGCTTTTCTAATTCTATGCCTTAGTTTGGAATTAAGCCCATCAATTTTAAAAATTTTTTAATTGACAGCAGAATTTTGGCGGCAAATTGCATAAATTTCTTCACTGACGGAGATTATTTTTGTCATTACAATAATTATAAAAGTGAATTTTCATGGTTTGTTCTTTGCCTTATAAAATGTCCTAAGCCAATAATGTACCGGTATCATAATTTGGGCACTGGGTCAAGTGGTGTTTTATATCAGAGTATTATTGGGGGGGGGTGGATAGCCTGAATTTTAGACGATTACTGAGGGAGTAAAAACGACTCGAAGTAATTGTCTAAAATTCAGGCTAGGGGGGTGGAGTGAAGAACAAACAATAGAGTTCATGTCCTCAGGTACAAAATAATACATGACTATGTTCTGGGCCCGACTCAGCCTCATTTTGAGCCACTAGGTGAATGTTAAAATGAGCCCTACAGTAAGTAGGGCCCTAAAGAGAGCATGGTACTCATGTAAGACATCTATTTAAGTTTACAATGTACAATGTTAGTCAGGGCTGTAGTTTAAATAGCTAGAGGCAAGACAAGGCTGTAAATTTTGATACTTTATTGAATAAAATACATTCAGTCTTCAGTTGAACTAGATTGATATAAAAGAAAAAAGAAAGAAAAGAGGAAAAAAACCCTGAAAATACCATTTCAGAGCTTCTGGGTTTTTAAATTTTCTGGTGTAGGGCATGTCCCCAGACCCTCCTAAGGGCCTTGCACCTTCGACAATCACCCCAGCTATGCCAAAAGTCTGGCTACAGCTCTTATAGTACTGCTGTAAATTGAAAGAACATGTTTTAACTACCTTCTAACTTTACTATAAATAATTGTTTTTAAAGGTGGAGGCTATGCAGAATATGTGGCTGTTGATGAAGCACTTGTAATGCCTGTCCCAGACTCTTTCAAACTCTCGGATGCTGCAGCCATCCCTGAAGTTTGGTTAACAGCATATCAACTGTTGCATTTTCTTGGCAAAGTTAAAAGTGGTGAAGTAGTATTAATCCATGCCGGGGGCAGTGGCGTTGGTACTGCTCTGGTACAACTGTCAAAGTTAGCTGGAGCAAGGCCTTTTGTTACTGCAGGATCAGAGGAAAAGATTAAAATGGCTGAGTCACTAGGAGCTGAAGGAGGCTTCAACTACAAAACAGGAAATTTCTCCAGTTGGGTGGAAAATGTTACAAATGGTACTTGATGTTCTGGCTAAAAATGATTCCTAAACTTGCTAAGAATTATGTACTGTGGATGTACACATCACCTATATTTTCCAGTGTATTACAGTTGAACCCTACTTTACAGACACCTGCTTAATATGGACACCTTGTTACTATGGGCAGTTTTCCTTGTACCTAGCCCTTATATTTTCTCTAAATTCAGCCCACTTAACACGGACGCCGCATTAATATAAGGACACTTTCTATGGCCCCCTCAGTGTCCGTATTTATAGCGTTTGACTGGAGTTTAAAATTTACAAGCCAGCTTACAGGGCTAGAAGTTTTTGTTAAAATGAGTTGAAACCTTAATTTGTTGTTTGCTTGAGTGAAATTCTAAGCCTGTTTTTTTCCCCAAATACTCAAAAGGATCTGTTGCTAATGGATACAGAGAGGTGTAGAGAAGTGACAAGCACGCAAACATAACTTGCTTTGAAACTCAATCTTGATCTGATCGTTGATGTTCAAACTAAAGGTTCCTTTCAAAGTCTTAGGGGACTAAAGATACATCTTCTAACATCTCACTCTCATGGCATTATAATCAACCCAAAAAATAAGAGAATGAAAAATAAATAAGAAAAGAAATAAATGAAGAAAAAAAATTGCTTAACTGGAGTTTGCATGCTTAAATTAAGATCTATTATTATTTTATTTTCTTCCAGGTCAAGGAGCAAATGTGATCCTTGATTGTGTGGGAAGCTCATTTTGGGAACAGAATATAAAGAGTCTTGCTGTTGATGGTCGTTGGATCTTGTATGGTCTTTTGGGTGGCAGTTATGTCTCAGGTGACCTCCTCAGTGATATCCTAAGGAAAAGAGCTTCACTTATAGGAACGACACTGAGGAGTAGATCCCTTAGTGTAAGTTATCATTCTTTTGTTTCAGGATCTCTATATTGTCAATACCAGATGTAGATAGAAATTTAGTCATTTTAAAGTTGAACCTCTTTAGGATGGCCACCTTGCAGGGGCACCCAGTGAGAATATAGTTCAAAAGCACTTAAATATAGCATTGTTGAATGTATTTTAGTATTTAAACGGTAGATCTATATAGTCATATTTTTATTCCCGAAATATTTTTCATCTGTTCAGATTTCCTAGGTGAATGTCTATAGTTATCCAAAAATTATAGGGATCAAGACTTACCTTTTCGAAAATTTCAGCCAAGAAAAGGCTCCCAAAATTTCTAGGTGACCTTTTTAGGGTAAAAATCCTTTTAAAATGAGCAATTATACCAGTTTTTAGATGTTCGAAAATCCCAGGAGAGGCAGGCAAGCAAGAAATTTTACAAAAAATGTTCTGAAAATTCTAGACCTCGTCTTCAGAACAGATATTTTCCAAAAATTGACGTTGGGTGCCCCTGACCTTGGGGACAGAAGAAAGTGGCCATTGTGAAGAAGTGGCCATTGTAGAGAGGTTTTAAACAAGAGTCAATATGTATGGATTTTTTGGTCAACGGGATGAAAAACAGGGGCCGTTTTAGAGAGGTGGCCATTGTAGAGAGGTTGGTGTTGGTGGAGGTTCGACTGTAGATCAACTACAGCCAAACCCTGCTTCATGGACACCTGCTTAATATTGACACCTCGTCATTATGGACAGCTTGCTTTGTCTTTCAGGAAAGAAAGCCTTTACATTTTCTCTAAATTCAACCCGCTTTCTACAGACACTCCATTAATACGGACACTTTCTATGGCCCCACTCAGTGTCAGTTCTAACCGGGTTAACAGTACAGAATCCCTACAGTCAATGTAGGTCAAGTGTAGCCCCCAAGATTACATTAATGAATTGATTATTTGAAAAATGAATCTGGTAGTTGTTCCCATAACTAGTGTCAAATTCAAATCCGCATTCCTGCATGCATAATGACAAGTTCAACAAATGTTGTACGACAACTTCTCTGTATCTTTTCATATTGAACATCTGTGAATAGCTGATATTTAATTTACTACCTCGTGTGTGAATTCACGGCTCATCACGCATGCAAGAATGCAGAGATAAATCTGAAATCTACAACTAGCAACAGATTCAACTTCTGAATAATAAATTCATTAATGGAATCTTGGGGAGTACACTTGACCTGGCTTGACTGTAAGTTAATCGTTTTCTTGTGCAAATTATATTGTATGTTAAACCTTAGTGGGATTGACAAAATTAATATAAGAATCCGATACAAAACGAATTCCAGTAGTTGTAGTCAAATAAGGGGTATGAAATACAGTTGAGCCTCTCTAAAACTTCCACCTTGGGGACAGAAGAATGTTCTCGTTCTAGAGAGTCAATGTATGAAATTTTTGTCCGCCGGGAAAGTGAAAGTGGCCGTTGTAGAGAGGTGTTGTAGAGTTGTGCCGGGTTGTTATGGTATTTTGTTATCTCAAAACAAAAGTGATAATGGCTGGTTCACTTATCATTGGGTATTAAATTTCTTGCTACAGGCATCAACTAAAACGTGGAAGAGGGCAAGGGGGATGAGTGTAGGGGAGGCAGGAGGTGGAAGAAAAAGGGGAAAATTATGCAAAAATGCAGTTTATCTTACGATGAAAAAAGGGCTAGAGGGGGAACACCATGAATAAAGGAGTGGGAGCCGGAAATTCTAGGCACGTGAGGCGGGAGGTTTGGACCCCCCCTAAACACCCCCATCTGAAAACAGCAACAACTGATCAACTGATTAACCCCCCTCCCAACCCCACCTGAAAACAGCATTGTGGTATTAGTGCAGAAAGAAGACACCCTGCAGGTACTATTATGATGCCCGACACAAAAACGGCTTATCATTGTTTTTCCCCATCCTTTTGCAGTACAAAAGAGAACTGGTACAGGAGTTTTCAGAAAGAATTGTTCCACAGTTTGCAAATGGAAGACTAAAGACTATCGCGGATTCAGTTTTCACCATCGATGAAATCCAGCTAGCTCACAAAAGAATGGAGTCTAATGAAAATATCGGGAAAATAATTATACAAATTATGCCAGATGATACAAATACTGAAGGAACCAAATCTGAACTCTAACCTTTATTTTATTTGCTTATATTTATTTATTGCCTTTGGCTCAACAAAATCCACCCTATTTTAAAATAAGCAGAGCCTCAAGTTCTTCGCTTGCAACCGGTGAAGACAGCTGCCACATTTAAGATAGTGATATGCCGAAAACTAACGAAGATGTACTGCCATATATGAGCTATATAGGTATGTGCCGCTGTGAAGGGTATGGTTTTCAAACAGTCTACTCTAGGATAGGGTATATAAATCAGAGCGCTTGGGTCTAGAATAGGCTATCATTTTTCAGGAACTGAACTGATCAGTTGGTTGAAGATTTTATCTAGACTACTGAAACAGCTACTCTAGGATAGTGGGGATTTGGGGAGTTTACTCTAGTATAGGGTAGCAAAATTCAGCTGAACTAGCTGTGGTATAGGTTAAGGGTTCCAGGGTCCCAGCTGTACATCCCCACCCAGAAATTCCTAAAGTGCCCCCCCGGGCTCCTAGCAAAGGCGTGAAATTTTACAGAAGTTCTCTTACAACTCAAACGCCTGTAAAATCTTGTGACTATGGAGCTATGTCTTGAGTCTGCTTTCCTTTACCTCTGGCATTATTTGAGAAATACATGCTATACAGACCTAAAAAAAAAGCTTATCCAACATAAGCCCCGCTATCGCGACGTACAATAATGAACCCACAGGTCAAAATGTCCTTTCAAAGTGTCCCCAGTGTCTCTACTACTTTTCCATGCTGAGTGCCCCTTGCAGGCACCCTGGATTGCTTTTCATGCGGCAACGAAAAAGTACTGTTGTCCGGTATAGTATGAACACCTATCCGATATGTCACTTTAGAGACCAGCGCAGCACAGCTTCGCTCCGTTACAGAAATGGCGCCAAGATCACCGTTCTCATGTGTGAACAGATGCCCTTCCGATATGATTTTCGTGCCGGTGTAACCTTTTCGCTTAAACGGGAAGAAGCTATGCAGATTTCTTGGAATAAGGGGAAGATTTGAATGCGAAAAGAGTTCAGCTCTCACAGGATTTTTTTGGGTTCACTAACATGGTCACGGTTTTATTGTTTTGGTAAACTATAACATGGCAGAGGCGACGCCATGTGAATGAAGTGAATAAAATTAAACCGAGATATAACAGGCCCTCAAAAGAAGGGTGTCCTGAGGAAGGGCATTGTCTGACTTGATTCAATACTCCATGTGGAGTTACGATGGCATCAAGACTGGTCACACTTTCTTGGCGAGTAAGTGCAGCGTTGCATTAGGTACTAAGCCGCATTCCATCTGAAGTCGTGACGTCATGAACAAGACTGGTCACACCTTCTTGGAAAGTAAATTTAGCGTTGCATTAGGTACTAAGCGGCATTCCATCTGACGTCATGATCAAGACTGGTCACACTTTCTTGGCAATTAAGTGCAGCGTTGCATTAGGTACTAAGCCGCATTCCATCATTCTCATCGGCGAGTTAGCGCTATTTTTGTGTTCCAAAGCGCTAATTCGCCGAAAACGTTTCAAAACGACCTGAGACGGGGCAAACAACAAAGAATACAACAAGGCAATAAGGTAAGTCGATTTTATTTAAAAATATAACATTTTGTCTCTCTTTTGAGAAAAACCGTTTACATCCTATACAAGCCTTTGTAAATAACCGTTTGTAACACGGCACCGCTCGTTGTCACGTACGCGTTAACGTAATGAGCTTGGGCCGCCTGTGGGGAAACCAATCGCGCTATTCAGTGGATAGAGATTTAGCCGACGGATAGCGCTATGCACCTTCTGAACAACTGGGACCAGAAGAATAGCAGCGAGATTCTAACAAAAAAACCCAACCCAATTGTTTTATTCACTAACTACTGCAACGGAAATAAAATTTCGATCATAAACGAAAGCACTGCAGAAATAAAATCGCTTTTTTTAGGAGTCAAGGCTTTTGAAAAAAATGAGGGGGTGGTCTATCTTTCGATGCATTGGCAGTACCAGGTTGAAAACTTGTCGAACACATACACTGCTAGTTTTAGTCTATTTGGCCCGCACCAAATATGCAAATAAGGTCACGTGACTCGCCACGCCCAGAAACGCTTTGAACTAAAATGGGCACACTTTTTCTTGTTTCCTTAAACCATTCGCCCCTGAACCGCCCGTAACCGCCCGTGCGGATCCAGGTCCTTTCTACCCTTTGTGACGTCATCAGTTTTAACGGTCAAGGACAACTTTCTTCGCTAACTTGTGCAGAGTGAAGAGATCTTTCAAACCATACCAGAATGAGCACAATTCAGTCAAGGACACCGGAGAAAGAAGCAAAAAACCACGTGACAAGGACCTGAAAATCTCCATGAAAATCTTGTTCCATTACCCACCTACCTTTCCTTTCACCTAATCCTAAGATCCTAAAAGCTTTCCTAAAAACTCTTCCCACCAAAATGAAGCCTACTAAATGCCCAGCAAGAGAAAAAAAAATGAGGCAAGAAAAGCGAAAAAAGAAGGGAGGAGAGAAAGCGAAAAGTAAAAGTCAAGACTGCTGTGTCACTTTTAAACCCAAAATTTTGCTTTCTGCGCATGCCCGAACTTCGCAAGTTGATGTTTTGCATCTGGATCAGAAGGCCGCCAAGTGTACGACCTGTAAACCGGTTTGTGGTAAGTTTTAGCTCTTTATAGCACGACAGTGACCAGAAAACCACTCGACTAGCTTCAAAACGCGTTTTTCGACAAAATCTCCAGGAGCGAATAGGTTAATTTTTCTACTAGCTTCATGATTTTAAGTCCGTCAGGTATGTCATTTCTGCACTTGGCAATGTCAAGACTTTTTAAAGGAAAAGCATGCTATAATGATACACTTGCCTTGGGAGACTGGGTACTAGTCGAAAAATCAGTTTATTTTCAAAATAAACGAGACTTTTTAAAGTTGCCAAGCGCAGTTTTGTAGCGGCTCATGATATTTTGTATTTTCTTGTATTTTCTTTTTTCTTTGCTAAAAAGTGTGCCCATGTTTCTTAAAAATATTTTTTGAGACTTTGTGGAGATGTAAGGTCACGTAACCTAATTAGCATAATATTAGTGTGTTCTGAAGTATAATTGGTTTAAAGAAGAATTAATTCTTCTTTAGTGGATAGTACCTACGATTGCAAACCTCAACAAAATGCCACTTTAACCGGCCAGGAAGAAGAAGGAGACGTGAGTTAAAGGTATCTTAGCTTTGTTTTGTTATATTTTGACTTTTGGACTATTTCAATTAGTTCATGAGAGTTTCGACGACTCATCCCATTTTGTCCATGTAAATATTAATATGTTAACGCACACTACGTCTGGGCCGCCAGTGATTATGCGAGTTCACAAGCCCACAGTTGCAGACAGATTAGTTGAGCTCTGCAATTAAAACACGGGACTAATCATAGATTGCTATTTTTTCCTCGGAATACATTTGCTTGGCGAGAGTCAAAATTTGTAAATTTGTTCGAGGGTTCTTGAATAGCACCAAGTAGTGACTGTTTAAACTTATGCTGCGACTGCCTTTCACGTGATGAAATAGATTCTGCACAAAATAAATCACGCTTAGATTGCGATGATGAGAACCACGAGTATTAAGAGGTTCACAATTCGCTTGTCTTTATTGGGGTCAATCATCTGATCGTCAAACACGATTAAGTTCCGTTTGTTCAATCCTGCTCCAAAGCCTTAAGAATTCCCTTGACGAATTCAATGTGTGGCATGGCGACTAGCATTTCTGTATACGCAGGCTGTCACTGTGGAAAACACCAAACGATCCTCTCCGGGAAAGGTAAATTGATTCTGAAGCTTGTTAACGTTGTAATAGAAATCGAACCTAGGCAGTTTTCCCGGATCCGGTCATTCCCGCAATCATGGAGGTAAAAGGGTGTTCAAAGCGAAACCGCTGACATTTCTTTTAAGACATTGGAACTGTTTGAAATGGAGTGAGACCAGCATTGTGGTGTTTAGACATCACGTGCCTTTGCATGCTATCCTTTCTACTAAATGATTTTTCACAAACGGGACAGAACCAACTCAGGAGCAGAATGTAGACTGAGAAAAAGGTAGAATGTTGCTCATTTATATAGGTTTGAAGGCCTTAAAATTCTATAGTTTTCCTCCACTACCACTACCACCACATTTCCATTGTTTTCCTCCAGCACCATCACCAGACCACCACCACATTTCAATTGTTTTCCTCCACCACTACCACCACACCACCGCCACATTTCTATTGTTTTCCTCCACCACCACCACATTTCTACTGGGGTTTTCCTCCACCACCATTTTTCCCAAGCAGTTTCTTTCGCAAACAATTTCGGAAAAGTGTACTTCGGAATTGCTACATAGTATGGCCGCTTCCAAAGATATTTTATTCTGGACTCCCCGCGGACATTTACTTCGAAATATACGTATAATTCCCGTCACAAACATCGCCGAGGTACTTGAGTATGTGGTACTACCACATAACGATGACGTAACCAAACCTCGTGCACGGAATACGTTCCTAGATAGTTTTGTGGAGATACCAATCGATAAATGTTTAATCAAGAACAAAAAGTTGCTAAGCAATTTAATAGAAAAGGAAAAAGGCTACCGAAACAACGAAAATACTTTCCAGAACGAGAGCAATGTGGAAAGTTCATCGGATAGAGAGGACGAGGGGGAGGAGATAGCTTCTATGAATGGCAGTAAAGATGAAGACATCCAAGAGAGTGAAAACGACACTGAAAAAGACAGTCAGGAAACAGAAAGTAGAACCCCTGAAACGTCCACCACCTTTCCTCCGAAAATCTCTGTGAACATTGCCAGAACTCTAATGTGTACGGGACATTGATCATGAAATAAAGGTTCATGAAATGTCCAAAATGCTCTTGGCACGATTACTACAAGGTGTATTCTACATGCGATCACCAGATCCCCGAGAAGAGAAATTACATCAAAGAGGGCTTTCTTCGGTGTCACGATTGTGGAGCAATTACACACAAAAACGCGAAGACGTTGGAAACCAAAAGAACGAAGAGAATATGATTAATCAATTTCCATCTTTGAAGGGGGTGAACAGGTGAACGGATCGGCGGATTTTGAAAATATTTTTGCTCGGATTTCGGATTCAAAGCGATATTTTAACGGATTTCCGGATCCTGCAATTGCAGCGGATTGCAAATTCATCTGTTTTTTGGGCGCGGATTTGGACTTTACGTGTAATTGATATATTTTTGCCCGGATTTCGGACTCAGAGCGAAAATGGAAGGGCGGATTTGGTTAATAAATCATAACGGATCGGCAGATTTGTATACCCCTATTCACTCCCCTCATCTTTGTATTTGACTCTATGCTCATGGCAAAAAGAGGAAACGAACTCGGCATAAGAAATTTCGAGTAAAACCTTACAAGTACACCATGGGCGAAGAAGAAGATTAATTTCTCATCCCTTTCAAATCACTGTGTATTTCATTCTTTTTGTTATTGTT